CCCCCCCCCCCCCCCCACTGGCACTTTTCCAATGGTCCGCCCCTCGTCCCATACTAATTCGTAATTCAGGAAATTGACCAATCATTTGGGTTACATGATATACATTATATTGGAGACATTATGTTAAGGTTGTTAATGCAGAACAACCCTAAAACTTGGTATAAATCCATTCCTTGCTAGGAAGGGATAGAATTTCGATGTATACAAGCGCTTCATACGATGCTTACACTTGGATTTCAAATCCTATCATGATTATCCCGTTCTCAATCAGTCGTAATTGAAATACGCAACATTCGTACGTCATTTCATTCATGTAAAGAATTAGCCTTCCATATTTAGGTGTTATATTTTTATACTTCAAGTTGATGTGGTGTACGTAAAATGTTCTTTTGCAAAAAAATATTTTTAAATGTTCTTGTACGATGTATATTTATATATAAGCTCAGCTGGTTAGAGCGCTGCACAGGAATCGCAGGGCTGCCGGTTCAATTCCTGCCAGAAACCTAAAACTGTTCCACTCAATAATTGCCATCAACAACACCCTTCAACCATTGAATCGAGTGAGATGTAGGGACACGCACATTATGCTAAAAATTGCCTATTATGCTCGATCTCAAAAGGGTTCCCTATTTTCTTATATATATAATTAGCAGTCCAAAATTCCTACTGTGTTCACAGAAACTTTGATAGTGGAAACCGCCAACCTTTAGAGTTGATGGAAATTGCACCACAGACCACTAATTTCCCATATTATGTGATGATACATTACATCATAGTTAATCAAAATGGTGTAACATGGCAAAAATCTAAATATAGGTTTTGGCATTACGTCATTCCGAGTTCCCCGCCGTCTGCCCGCGTAAAATATGTCAACAAACTGATGCAATTTAAAGTCTACAAAATGATTTTCAAATCAAAAACGCAAAACATTTTAGGCTTCGTCCTTGATCTGCAAAGATCTAAGGCAGAAAATGGGTTGGAACAGCACGGGGAAATTCGGAATTCATTCGGGAAAGACTCTTCGACGTTATCCAACGCGAAAGGATGGCGGAATGAAATATACTCGCTTTCAATATGGGCCATGTGGCTTGCCTAAAAGAGGAAATGAATTTGCTGTTATAAAGGAATTAAAATACGGCAATAGAGCACAATATGTTGGCCCTAAAAGCGTAGATTTTGATTTTGAAGACGGAGGCCTACCTTTAGAAAAGGATTCGCTCGTTTACTCGCTAAATAAGCATAAAAGATGGCTGTTGCCCGACTTGTTAAAAGAAAATGTCACTGAACTTTTTCACGAGGAAAACAATGACGAAATACTTGATTCTGAGGCGAAAAACAAGAGCAAAAAGCGAAAGAAACAAAAAGCAGACAATGAACTTCGAGTTAGCGTAGTTGAAAGGTGTTCGTCAGGAGAAGCACCGAGAAATCTACCCGACTGCATAGGGGTGACCTCGAATGTCCCCCATAACTCCTGTGACCCAGAACGAAAACCAGGTAAGAAGTATTCCCATGTGGGTGACCTGAAATCTAAAGTTAGTGGTGAAGAACTAGAAGTTTACTACGAGTTGTTATCCCCGTTTCCAAAAGGGGCCTGGCCGTCCAACCGGCAGTTTCGGTGTTACCGACGGAATTCGATAGATAAAGTTGTCGGATCAAAATCAAAGAAGAAATGCAAGGGCAAAAAGAATAAGTGCTATCTGCATGGTGGACACCGGGACGACAGCTTCGAGGCGTTAGATGAGTATGGTTCATTCGATGGCTGTGACGATGATGTGAGTATAATGCTAGCTAAGATTAAAGTTTAACTTATTGACCATTTAAGTAGCCCTGATACACCCTACTTTATTATTTTACTCTGTCTAATGCCAGACAATTTTAGTTATCAAGGGGAGAGTGCTGCCACTCCCTAGTGGGTAAAACGATGTTTATTCAACGTTGAATCAGCATCGGAAATGATTCCCAAATCCCAAACATCGGATAGATGTGCATGAAAAAGGATTGAAAATGCAATTTGGATCGATGTTGGTTGCCAATATCGTCAACCATAATTCAACGTTGAATTTGCCAATTTGGTGACGTCCCTGTTGACAAAACTGTCCCTTGTGAACGACACTAATGCACCCATTCTATTTTAATACAGTTGCTTGAAAAATACCTACTTTCTAACACCAGACAATATTTCAACAATTTTATCCCAATTGCAAAGACTGAACAACAGTATTCGACCTTAATTTTCCACCTTCATTTTCCACCTTCATTTTCCACTTCATTTTCCACCTTCATTTTCCACCTTCATTTTCAAATGTCAGGTACATTTCTGGTTGACCTGTTAGTGAGGTACATTAGATTGAGTGTATAAAATGACAAAGTAAGGTGCATTGTTTCTTAATGGATTAATCTTTTGAATTATACCTTTCCTATAAATATAGTTTGTGCAGGAGCATGGTACAGAGCCAATGAACAGTGAATTTTCATTTCCCATTGGTGCTTATATACAAGATGCAATTAACAAAAAAAATAAGAAAAATACAGAAACCAAGGAACATGCATCCACCCTTCCATGCCCAACTGTATATGGTAAAGGACAGGCTATATATACTGATGATTATGATGCCGAGATACCAAACCCTAGTCCTGGTGATGCCAAGGAAAATAATTATAACCAAACAGCAACCAAGTATGAGACTTTGATCAAAGACAAAAAATTCAAAATTAATCTATTTGCAGAAGACATTGCCTGTGATAGTTTATCCAACCAATTTGGTAACAATTATATCGAAGGTGATGTTTCCCCAAGAAAATTTATAATCAAAGCTGACCTTAACGAGGCTCAACCAAATAACGGTGTTGGTGACATGTGCCTGCTGTTCGATGTTTCTGATACTCCCAGAAACCAAAATACTGTTGAAGCGACTGTTGCATTCTCGTTACCAAAAACTGAACTGATACCAAGCACTTTAAACAACGTAGTGGAGTTGGAGCTGAACAGATTGCAAAATGATGGCCTGTTTACAGTTAAAACCATCCTGGAATTTTTTATGGGAAAAATTGCTCCTCACATCAGCACCACATCAAAAAATGTCTTCCAAAAGAAACATGCTAAGAAATTTCCTGTTGAGTTTATCCAACAAGTCTGCAAGCAGGAATCGGAAGTGTGCATTTTAAAGAAAGCAGGTCGGTATGCTTTGGGAAGTCGAGAGAAGATCGGTGTCGTATGTTCGGTGTCGTCTGAAATTGGGAATTGTACTGGAAATGTAAAACTGTTTTGTGAAATATGTTATGTTGAAGAAGATATGGAAAAATGCATAGGTAAGGCTATGATGATTAATTTTTGTCAGTGAGTTGATTAGTCTGTTTGTTGGGCAGTTGGGCAATATTCGATCAACAGTCGGGCAATTTTGGTTTTTAATAAAAAAAAATGGGACAAATTGTGTAAATTTTGACTAAAATTAAGTCAATTTTGTGGCCAATTTTGTGTTTTTTGGAAAATTTGTCTTATGTTCCGAAAAATTTTGATTGTCCAGAAAAATTTTTTGACCCCTAAAATGGTACACTGACCGATGGGGTGGGGGCTTGGTCGCCAAATAAAATTTTCCGGAAAAAATTTTTCCGTACTAGTCGGGCACAATCCCGAAAAGTCGGGCAATTTTCTTTCCGCCCCCCTAAATTTTTCCTTCCGGTACGCCCATGTCTGTCTGTGGATGGCTGGAAGATAGTGGATGGAAATTCCAAGCAAAAATGTATATACAATCTTACTGGGAGCGGCTGTGTTAAAAGTGCAAGTTTAGGCCCATAGCTGATCAGTGGTCTGAGCACATAATACACTGCACTAGTCAGGGCTAATGTTCTTCTGAGACTTCAGAACACATAATTTTTCTGGGGTAGTAGCCTGCATAAGGGTGATATCCCCCGCCATTGATATTTATGGTCTGTCACTATATTCAGTTGGTCATAAAGTTAATTAGTTTGTTGGGCTACTAAGTCAGTCAGTCATTATAGTCACTAAGTCAGTCAGTCAAAATAATCTTTCAAATTTGTTTTACAGATCAATCAGACTTCACACAGTTGCTCAACTGCTCACATCAATTCTGCAATGGTTGCTGGTCCCTGTACATTGCATCCAGTATAAAATCTGGTCAGAGCCATATCCCATGCCCTCACTTCAAATGCAAAACCATCGTCACAGAGCCACTTATATGGTCATGTACAAACTCCAAACTTTACCAGCAATACAGAAAAATAAACCTGGAGAATTTAATAAGCACTAACCCTCAACTTCAATACTGTCCTGCAGCAGACTGCCCTCAACTGGCTTATGTTGAAGATGTTGAAAGCGTAAATGATAAACAACCCGATTCCATACCTGTTTTGTGTGAGTGTGGTCTTGTTTGGTGCTTTTCTTGCCAGAACCAGGCCCATTGGCCAGCAAGTTGTAAGGAAATGGATGCCTTTTGCAAAGCATTCGAAAATTATGAAGGCTATATAAAATTGCTTCGCAACCCTGGGTTGATTTCTTCAGTTCATGTCAAAAGATGTCCAGTTTGCTGCCATCCCATAGAAAAAAGTATGTTTTTTGCTATTTTTATTGTTCTTGGTTGTAATATAGCAGTTTTGTTGCTGCTGCTATTGTTGTTGCTGTGTTTGTTAGTTGTTGTTGCTGTGTTTGTTGTTGTTGTTGTTCTGCTGTGTTTGTTATTGTTGCTCAGTGTTGTTGTTGCACTTGTTGTTGTTGCTCCTTCTGCTGTGGTTGTTGTTGCTGTGTTTGTTGCTCTTGTTGTTGTTGTTGTTGTTGCTGTTGCTGTTGTTGTTGCTGTTGCTGCTGCTTCTGCTGTGGTTGTTATTGTTGCTCAGTGTTGTTGTTGCACTTGTTGTTGTTGCTCCTTCTGCTGTGGTTGTTGTTGCTGTTGTTGTTGTCACTGCTGTTGTTGCTGCTTCTGCTGTTGTTGTTGCTCTTGTTGTTGCTGCTGTTGTTGTTGGTGCTGCTGTTGTTGTTTTTCCATTGAAATAATTATGTTTATACATGTAATTAAGGTTATGGATGCAATCACATGTCATGCCGCTGTGGACGAGAATTTTGTTGGGAATGCCTGACACCGTGGGAAGGGCATCCATATGGATGTGTGGAAGAATTGAAAGAGTTGGAACAAGTTGAATTGTCAATGGGTTATGGCAGCGCAAGATTCAATAAATATTGTCAAATTGCTTTGAGGTAAACTGTTAATACTGTAATAAAGACCGGTAAGATACTTTGCCAAACTATCTTAGCTTGTTGCTTTCCGATATGCAAATTATGTTCACTATGTCTATGACGTCAAAAAGCATAAAGGTTTCTAAAAAATCTTTTATAACTCTTATAGCCTATGTAGATAATTGATTCAAATTTGTCGACATATAACGTATATTTGTAGTACGATGTTGACGATTTCTATGCACGATATACCGGCCAAGATCTTGAAGTTTTTTCAAGAAAGTCATTATGTGACGCGGCCATATGAACGAAGGTCGAAGCCAGTCACTAGTCAAGATGCCATAGTTTAGCAAAGTACCTTTTAAACAAATTTCTTGGTTTACCCAGTACCTTTGGCTTTGGGAGCATGGCTAAGAATAAAGATTTCCTGGTTTTCCCGCCTTCGGAAAACATGACTATAAGAAACAACGTTTCTTGGTTTGTCTATATTCGTGAATTATACATACAGTAAAAACAGTCTTAATGTAATGTATTGGTTCCGAGGCATTAATCCATTGTGTACACACGAAAAATCTCACAACTTGTCAACAAGATATCATAGCAACAGCACAGAATACTGGCAACAGGCTTGTAGCAAGCTTGTCAACAAGATGTAACAATGCTAGCTGTTATTTTATCAAGTTGCTACAAAGTTGTTCTGTATCAAATAGAACGATAATCGATATTAACAAGTTGTTGGAACAACTTGTAACAGGTCTGTTGAGCTCAACAACCTTGTAGCAAATTGTGCGAACACATCCTTTTGACAAGTTGTTGGGAAAACATTGCTACAAGTACAAGTCTGCTACAGGTTTGTTGCAACTTGTGCGTAGGCCATTTTACATATATATATATGAAAAAATTTATATTAATATTATTCCGATTATTATATTTTATTGTATTGTAGAAATGGCCTTGAACGAAATGGCAAAAAATTCTTTGCTTTCAAGCACTTAGCAGAAAAAGCAAAACAGGTTGAAAATGCTCACGAATTTGTTACCCAAAACCCAAAAACCTCCACTTGTAAACTTGTCCAAAATTACATCGAAAAGAACATCGCATCCATGGTGGAAGAGGTCTTCCGTTTCAAAAACGTAGCGCATTTTGTGTTGGAAAACACAGCCGCGTGTGTGGCCATTACTAAAAAGACAAAGCTGGTTAAATCACTGTACAAGAATATGGAAATGCTGGATTTTATTATTCAACGATGCAATGAAGTGTTGTTAGAACCAGCTGTTTTGTTAAAGGAAGGAAAGTTGGAAACTGTGCAAGAACTTTTGAAACGTGGGGAAGAGTTAATATGGAACATTGATAGGCTTGTACAAGCCAATAGGAAAGACTAGATTATAGAGGAATAGAATATAATTGTAAACTAATTGTATATTAATTATTATAGTTAAAAATTATAGTCAATAAAATTTAACCATTCAGAAATCGTGTGTGAACTTTCATGCAACAAGCCTCCGCGGAGCAGACAGCTCTTTTCTAAAGCCTGGTTCACATTAGCAGTGGCAATTTTGTCGGCGATTTGATTGGGTTTTTGACGGATGCAAATGATGAACTCGCACACAAAAGTATTCTTGGGTTTCACTACGGCATTGTGCAGTGAATGTATATTGATGCTTACTATGCTTTACTGGAGTGAGAAAATGATACGAAATTCCATGTATTTGCCACCAAACACAAGGCTAATACTCAAAACGAACAATCGACTCACTCTGATAACTGTGTTTTGTTTTAGAGTTGCGTCACTTTTGTGACGTCATATGAACCCAAGAATATATTCGCTTTTCAGAAGTAAACAATTCTAATTATTAAAGTCTTTTGCATGCCATTCATTGGATCACATTTGCGAGCAGGAGAAAAATCGCCGACAGAATTACTTGTGTAGACCAGGGTTAAAGGCACAGCCCTGTTCGAATGAGAGTTGAGAAGCGAGAGTTCGCATGAGAGTCTTCTCATCTTCTCATCTCACAAGAACAAGAGTTGCATGAGAGTTGAGAGTTTGCATGAGAGTTTTCTCAACTCAAGTGCCCGGTCAAACGAGAACAAGAGTTGCATGAGAGTTGACTGGATATTACGGCGTGCTTAGCAACTCTCATTAAAATGTGAACCATTGAGTTCAAAGTCGATAAGGGGCTGTTTATATGGTCCCACTTACCCGGGATTCAATGAGTGTGACGTATTTGGAGCAATTGAAATAAGTCTTATTAATAATTAATTAAATAAGTCTCTATTAATTAATTAAATAAGTCTCTATTAATTAATCGTCTTCTTCCACTACATAACTTCTAGCGCGTTCCTAATTTCGTTTACACGATATTTAAAGTTATCTAACTTTTGTTTATGGCTGAAACACGTATTTCAATTGCTCAAAATACGTTGCACTTCATTGAATCCCGGGTAAGCGGGACCATACTCTCATGAATTCTCCACAAGTCCTATTCTGAGTTCTGTGCTTATTAAGTTCCTAACCAAGCCCGCAGCGTCTGTTTTGCAGGCTATTTTCAAACGTTCGACAAGAGACTGATTCAAGGATTCACTGTTCAGGTACTGGTCGACTTGGGCTGTGGTGTATAGCTGTCATTGGGCTGACCGTTTTGCTAGTCCTTGTAATCCTTAGCACTTTCCAAAAAATGTAGCCCAAAGCTTTACGAAATCTTCGGTCGAATGTCCCATATAAAATAGGATTAATTGTACTATTGAATAAACAGAAAAATACGCCTGCAATAAAATATTCATCAGGCCAATTGCACTTTGGTAAAAGGAAGCAAAGCCCGCCAATCGAATATGGAGTCCAACAGACCAGAAACGCGACAGTCACAGCCAATAACATTCGGGAAATTTTAATTTCTGCGATATTTCGCTTCATCGTATCGCTCTCCGAACGTTCTCTCGTAATATTCATTTTTTTTAGCATTTTTGAAACTTTTAACGCCACTTTAAAGTTGCAAAATAAAATAACGGAAATCGGTATGCAACTGGTAATTATACCACAGATTAGCGTAAAGTGATAATTATGCCTCCATCGTGAGGCGCAGTTGAGTAGCTCTTTCTGGTAAGAAAAGTGCGCGATTTGCCAGGCAAAGAACGTCCAAACTCCACCGTATAACCATGTCGTAACTACAAGCCATTGCATTGCTTTCGAATTTTTTACCCACTTGAAATGGAGGCTGGGGTTGGTGAACAGCACGTAGCGTTCCAAACTGACACACATTATTGTGACGACCGACACTTGACAAAGTAAGAACCCCAAGCTCCCTTGAACATCGCACCAAAAGTCGCTTAAAATCCATTGGTGTTTTACAGCCGAAATTGTCGCAAAAGGCATAATAAACGCGCCCAACAAAAGATCTGTAAATGCTAAACTCACGATCAAATACCGAGTATGCCATTTTTTAGTCACAAACAAAGCCAACAAGGAGAGCGAATTGCCAATCACAGTGGCTAAAGTTATGACAGAAAATAAAAACCCTTTTCCAAATTCTGCAAAATCGCTCTGTGCCGAGTGGTCGTGAGTTCCATTACCAGAATTTACCACCATTATTGCAGTGTTCAAACGTCACCAACACAGCGAACAGTATTCGAACGAGTCAAATAACAAAACTGTTTCACCTTGAGCGCCAAGCGAACTGTTAAATTTATGCATTGTCACCGACGTTATAGAATTCGACGGAATGTAATTAACACACTGATAATTATAATTAGCATTTCTTTTCAAAACCACATAATTGCAAGCGGTTGCCTTTTTAATGAAAAATACCATTAGACAAAAAGACACTGCATGAAATGAGCCTATTTACCGGTGCTTGTGTGAAAAGAAGATTGTTGTGCTTTCAAAATACCATAGCAAGCAGGAAATTCTAATTAATTTTGTCGTTCCGACTGCATTTTCAGAAAAACAACATATAAAGACCTCTTTGCCGTTGATTGCAATACTAAACACATTTCTCTCTTGTAGCCAAGCGATACTTGAACTGCTTGATAAAAACTTCACCGACGTTGCTTTAGTAACGCCATAACAAAGAACGAACCCTATATATATCAATAAACCTCGAAATGTTGGATAAGTTTGTTGTATATAATCACGTGATGCCCAGATGGATAGGGCTCCTGCACCCGTAAAAATCTCACAACTTGTCAACAAGATGTCATGATGTGATCGCAACAGGCTTGTAGCAAGCTTGTCAACAAGTTGTAACAATGCTGTTATTTTATCAAGTTGCTACAAGCTTGTCACTCTGACAACTTGTTGACAAATTGTTGAATTGCAGGACGATAAAACAAGTTGTTGGAAAAACTTGTAATAAGTCTGTTGGACTCAACAACCTTGTAGCAAGTTGTCAACAAGCTGGGAACAAGCAGTGCGAACACATCCTGTTGACAAGTTGTTGGAACAGCATTGCTACAGGTTTGCTGCAGGTTTGTCACAACATGTGCGTTTTTACGTGTGTAACTTGCGATAGAGAAACTCTAACCAAGTACACACATAAAAACGCACAGGTTCTTACAGGTCTGGAAACAAGTGGTTACACGGGCTGTCGACAAGTTGTCTTAGCCCTGCTTGTTGCCGGTTGTCGTAACAAGTTTGAAACAAGCTGTTAACAACTTGCAACAAGCTTGATGGCATTATCGGACTTGTTACAAGGTTGTTCTAACAAGTCTGATACAGTCTTGATATAACAAGAATGTTACAAGGTTGACGACACAAGGTTGTGACAATATTGTTATATCATGACTGTATCGGACTTGTTGGAACAACCTTCAGTGCAACAAGTCTGATAATATCAACAAGGTTGTTACACGTTGTTAACAGCTTGTTCCAAACTTGTTGACAACTTGGGACAAGCAGTGCGAACACAACTTGTTGACGGCCTGTTGGCAGACTTGCTACAAGATGTGAGATTTTGTGTAGCCCATATACGGCAAACATGTGCTCTGAAATGCCAAATCGGTGACTGTGAGCAATGTCAACCCCCCATAAGACCACAACGTAGGCGACATTGACCTTTTTCACCCCAGCTTTTTTGATTCTGCCAAGTATTCTACACTGATTGTTACTCGAACCAGGATAAGTTAAAAAATTACATGCTGGTTGCAGAAAGTCAAAGAAAATTTTAAATGTTGGCACTCGTTTAAATTTTGTTATTTCAATGATGTGATATGATATACGGTTCAACTTTAATGTTACCTGGAGTTCAATCGGTCGCTATTTGCAATTGCATGAGGTTTTGGCGGTGGAAAAACCTCTGGCACCCGTGGTAAATTAAGGTTAACACAGGTCAACTTTGTTATGCTATCATTTCCGACATTTTAGAGACATGTCCAGGCAGAATTCACAATGGACGATTTGCGCTTTAGACTAAATTTTAATCTAAGTAAGGACAACGAAATCTATCACCACAGCTAGAAAGAGCGTCTTGGAATTAGTAATATTACAAAGTTTGGTTGCGAAATGTTGTAAAATACGGAAAATATAGCCCTTCAAAGTTGGCAAATTTGTATACTTTTGTATTACGTGCGTGAATTGGTAACTAAATTAGTTACCAATTTCCGCACGTAATAGAAATGTATACAAATTTGCCAAGTTCGCAGGGCTATATTTTCCGTATTTTACAACATTTCGCCACCAAACTTCGCAGTTTTTCTAATTTTGATAACTTCTTTCAGAAAATATCCTTTGTTATTCCCAGATTAAAAATTTTTCTAAAGCGCAAGTCGTCCATTCACTCAACGCAACTGTGAGTTTTACGCCAATAATCTATTTGATCAGCTGAAATGTGGTGCGTGGGGCGATTCATTGCGTAATGTAACTTTCAGTTTTCGCCTATCATTATCATCATATCACCCATATTTAGGCTGTTTAAGTTGTTTACACTTCTACCAGATAGCTTTCCATGGCGACGTGAAAAACATCTGTCCGTACCTTTTAGGAACGCTATTTTCAGATGAATTATTGCAACGGAGAGATGTTGTTTCGCTAAGCTTCTGAAAGTTGTACATTCCGTATTGGATAGGTGCTTTTTCGCGCCACTACGGAAAGCTATCGATCCGGCATATAGTATAATATGTATCAATAAAGAGGGAGCTTTGAAATTCATCCAATATAAAATCTTGAACGTTTTATGTCAAGTGTAGATAGCCAAGAACTGACAAGTTTTGGGCTTGGACGAATGATGCCACTACCAAAAATGGAAACAAATTTAGACGTTTCGAAGAGTGCTTTGCTCGCATTTGGTATACAGTTTCGAATGAGATTAGTGGGCATCTGCCTTCGCTCGAAACAGGTTGTTGAAAACCCCCAACCACCCAACCAGACTTTCATGACGTGTCGCGTGGGTGTCACGCGTGGGACGTTCACTTCCGCGGAGCTAAAGAGCCTGGGACTAGTGGACGACGGTCTATTAATCATGGATGAAAAACTACAAACATAAAAACATGAAAAATTCGTGTTTAATTTTCGCCGTTTTTGGCGTGTTTCTGACACTATATTTTTCTGTAAGTAATGGCACAGAAAGAACTGAACCTAGCAAAGATGATGGTGGTATAAAAATGGATCATTATGTACATTATGAGGAATTAACGAAGCTATTAAAACGGCTTACCGACAAGTACGCGTCCATATCTAAACTACATTCTATTGGAAAGTCCGTGCAAGGCAGAGATCTTTGGGCAGTACAAATCACAGACAAGATCAACGAAGTCGAGCCCGGAGAACCGATGTTTAAATACGTCGGAAATATGCATGGCAATGAAGCTATAGGCAGACAAGTTTTGATTTACTTGATAGAATATTTGTTAAAAAATTATAAACACCAACCACGCGTGACAAAGTTAATTGATACTACCAACATATACATAATGCCAAGTATGAATCCAGATGGTTTTGAAGCTGCAAGCGAAGGCGACTGCGCTGGAATTCAAGGTCGGCCAAATGCAAACGGCAAGGATTTAAATCGCAATTTCCCAGATCAGTTCAACAATTGGGCAACCTACAACATCGAACACGATGCACAGCCGGAAACCAGGGCGATTATTAATTGGGTTCGTAATAGTCGTTTTGTACTCTCGGCAAATTTACATGGCGGGTCGTTAGTTGCGAGTTATCCGTTTGATAGCAATTCTGTACATATAGCACAGGACGTTGCTAGTCCAACCCCGGACAATTCCGTATTCCGGCATCTTGCCACCGTGTATGCAACAAAACACAGGACCATGAGTAAAGGTGACCCTACTTGTCACGAACATTTTCCAGGCGGGATAACGAACGGCGCAAAATGGTATGATGTCCCAGGAGGAATGGAAGATATCAATTACTTACTTAGTAATTGCTTTGAGATCACTCTGGAGTTGTCGTGTTGTAAATACCCTACCGCTAATCACTTGGAGCAAGAATGGGCGAAAAACAAAGAGGCATTGTTGTCGTACATCGAAGAAACGCACAATGGGGTTCATGGTTTTGTGAAAGATCAAAATGGGAAACCTATTTTGGATGCTGTTGTTCATGTTCAAGGCATCAAGCATAATGTTACAACAGCGAAAAATGGGGACTTTTGGCGGTTACTTGTCCCAGGGGATTATCAGGTTTATGCCTGCGCTAAAGGGCATCGCTGCGTTATGAAAAAGATAAATGTGCCAAAAACTGGACATGTGAATGTCGAGTTTCAGCTACCAGTTGATGAAAATGCAAATCCAATCGAAGATCTACTATTAAGAATGAGACGCGATTTGAGCAACTCGTTTAGTCCACTAACGACATCCCCGATGCATTACTTAACTGATTCAACCCTTGGATACATTCCTTTCAGTGCTAACGACCTTAAAGATGTTTTCTCAAAATGGAGTAAGCCATTGACTTTTATTCATCATAATTATGATCAAATGACCACATTTTTACAAAATTATGCCAAGGGCTTTCCAGAAATTACTAAGCTATATACCATTGGAAAATCTGTCGAAGGGCGCGAGCTGTGGGTTTTGGAAATATCTGATAACCCCGGCAAGCATGAACCCGGCGAGCCAGAATTTAAATATGTTGGAAATATGCATGGTAACGAAGTGGTTGGTCGCGAAATGTTGCTTTTGTTGATCAAAGTTTTGTGTGTAAATTACAAGTCATATCCCCAGATCGGAGCCATCGTTAAAAACACAAGAATTCACATCATGCCTTCTATGAACCCAGATGGCTATGAACAAGCAATTATTGGAGATGACCGCGCTGGACGAGAGAATGTGCATAATGTTGACTTGAATCGAGACTTTCCTGACAGGTAATTCACCCATTGAGTAACAGCACAATTTATCTCCTTGACAAGTAAAATCATCTGGCATTAGACAGTATAAATTGATAAAGTACATGTACATTGGTACTTAGGGGCTGTTTATATGGAGGCGATTTTTGGGCGGGCTGACTCGCCAAAACAAACCACTGGTCCCACCGCAATAAATAGTATAGTATAAATATATTTTTTCCCAAATCTGAATTTTGTTGTTGTCCAGGTCAGTTTTAGCATCGAGATTGTAACGTGTATCCCCTTATTTTTCTGGATTTAGACTTTTTGAGAGACTGTTTTTATGGCAATTGGGCTGTTGCCATGCCCTCCCCTTGGCTACGCCACTGTCTGTTGGGCATTTCACTCTATACAAAACATTGTATTATCAACCTTGTAACATTCTTGTTATGTTATGTTATGTTATGACAGTATCAGACTTGTTAGAACAACCTTGTAATATTAACAGCTTGTTCCAAACTAGTTACAACAACTGGGAACAAGCAGGCGGACACAACTTGTTTCCAGACCTGTAAAAACTTGTGTATTTTTATGTGTGTAAGTGATGGGGGTATAAATGTAATTATTATTATTACAGGTTTGACTCGGATGCTGAAATACGCTCAAAGATACGACAACCCGAAACCCTTGCCCTCATAAAGTGGATAACGTCCAACCCTTTTGTTTTATCGGCTAATCTTCATGGTGGCTCTCTTGTTGCAAACTACCCTTACGACAATACGCCAGACGGACAAGTTGCATACAGTAAGAGCCCGGACGATGCATTATTCAGGGAGCTAGCATTAACATACTCTAACGCTCACCCCGTGATGAATCATGCAAAATCCTGCCCAGGTTATTCGGACGAGATTTTTGAAAAGGGTATAACCAATGGTGCAAAGTGGTATGTTGTCAATGGTGGCATGCAAGACTTCAATTACCTACACAGCAACTGCTTTGAGATTACAGTCGAAATGGGTTGCACAAAATTCCCAAAGGCAGACAGACTTCACTCTTACTGGGACGCCCATAAACTACCCCTGATTTTATTCATGACGCAAGTCCACAAGGGTGTGCGAGGATTTGTGATGTCGGATGATGGTAAGCTTTTAAAGCGTGCGGTCATCACCGTATCCGGTATCAACCACATGGTATATACTGCCGACGATGGCGATTACTGGCGCCTACTTCTCCCAGGGACGTACAACATCATGGCTGCTGCAGATGGGTATGATTCCGAAAAGAAAGAAATCATTGTGCCACACGGACTGGCGTTGGTTGTAAATTTCACTCTTAAAGCTACAAAGAAGAAGCCCACATTATCCCAAATTTTACCACATGTTGTTGGCAAACCACATAGTGATGGTCAAAAAGAAGATGTTCATACCCTGCAGTCGACGAAGCAACCAATTACCATAAAACCTCAATATATATCTGGTAAGTTGGAGTCTCCTTTCTAGGCTGACTACATGCCTGTGCCCGGTTGTTCAAAAGGCGATTAGCTTAGCCCCAGGTTATAATCGTGAACTGTCTGTTCCAGTGTAGATAGTCCCAATAATAACAAGTTATAAGGAGAATTTTGAAGGCCCTTCATCGGGAGTTAGTAACAGAGTTGGAGGTGTGGAAATTTTCCCGACCGCCGCTCGAACCAAGAGCTGTTCACTCAAAACGTCGAAATTCTCCTTATATTTTTCGGGTAGTTTCATTCCTACCAACGAAAGCTTGTTAGCCCTAGGTTAACCTAAAATTCAAAGCAAAATTCCTGACAGCTTGCATTGCTTGTCTATAAATTTGGAAATGTTTTTCTTCAGAGATCTTGTCTGGATTGATAGGAGTTTACTACTAGTTAGGAAGTTTTGAAATAAACAGAATTGTTTGAATTCCTAGGTTTTGCAAGCTGGTCTCACCACAACTACAAACAAATGATTGCCTTCTTTGAAAACTTCTCCCAAGCATACTCAGATATCACTTCACAAACATCGATTGGCGAGAGTATAGAGGGCCGAAAGATCTACTCTTTTGAAGTTTCCGAAGATGCTGGTATCCCCAAGGAAGGTAGGCATCAAGTTTTGAGCTTCTTAAAATGGAGTGACTCAATACTTAGACCTGCATATAATTATTTCACTTGCTGGGACTGGGACAAATGTCTGGTCCAGAGTTCACTTGTCTGGCCAAGCCAAAAATTGGTCGCACATTTATCAATTTTTCCCGGACAATGGACAACGAAAATTTTTTCATATTTTGTTTTGAAAATTAGCACGATGTATTTTTTTTGCCTGGTCATGTTAGTCGTCCGCAGTGCAATGCATCTAAAACTGAGTATATATCTACGAGTCCTAATGCATCAATAAATTATGGTTTAGGTTATACACAACTCTAATTTCTACCATATATACAAAGGTGATGTCGATTTCTAATTAAATCTTATGGCTTAATGCTGCAAGAAATAGTGGAGAAGTGCTGTCTATATTGCTTTCTTGTTGGTTTCATTAATAAGAAATGTGTTAAATAAACAATTTTTGAGATTGGAGATTAGT